GAGTAAAAGCACTACACGACGGGAGGAGGAGGAGAGGACGGTAGGCAGTGTTTGGGTCTCCGCCTGCTGGCGCGTGTCGGTAACGGCGGCCTCAGGTTTCCTTTCTGAGGTAAAAAATAAAATAAAAAGAAGAAAAAAAAGCGTGCTTACGTCATCGGCGTGACGCAACGCTGACCTTGAGCTAAACACACGGAAGGATACTACATCAAACAGGCATGATGTTGGAGTGCCCTTTGGATTTAGGAAAACACCACACTTACTGTTTTTGTGGTTAAAAAAACACACACACAAAACTGGAGTTGAATGAATATCACTGATTTAATAATTTAATCATGTAGTTTAGATTGTGCAGATGTTCATAATGTCGAGAACATGTCCTGGTCATATTGCACTACTAATTTACATTTCGATTTTGCATGAAGAAAATATTAAGCCTATTATTTGTGTCCCTTGGGATTTTTGCATTGTCCTTTTTGCATTAATTTCATGATAAATAAGCACTTTTTACCCCCAAATTCTCATTTACATATAGCGAAACACTCTCATAACCACAAAAAATGTATAATAAAATACATATACACACTTCCTATGATTTATTATTTTAATTTTAGAACAAATTTTAATATTTTAATGTGAATTGGTTTTATTTGTATTACGAAAATTTCACAACGTGAACATTATGGTGGTATTTGACATACTGCCTTTAATTGATCATTTTAATTAAGAAGTACAACAGTATTGTTGCTATATAAGCCCAATACAATAATAATTGTATATGTAATATATTTACATTTAATAATTAAATATGTGTATATGTACCTATGTATTTATATATTATATATATATAATTATAGGAAATACATAGATACATACACACACACACAGCCTTTAATAAAAATAAATAAATAAATAAAAAAGAGGAACATCTGGAAGCATTTCAGTAATGAGGAAGGGGGGATAAAATGTGCTTGTCCCAAAATAGCTTCATTTATTTAATGCAAAATTTATAACTATTTATTGAATATAAGTTAACGTTAAATTAATCACATTTTTTATTTGATTTTAGGGTGAAATATGACCTTTTTTGAGAGGCTGCGTGGGATTCACCCTCGTACATAAAAAATATTTTTGATTGTTTCTTGGTTAAAACACTAAGAACATGTAACAAGTACGGATGGCTCATTTGGCTCAGTGTAAATGTGCAGCATTGTGTCTCACTACAAATAAAATACATCTGCTGGACACTGTGAGCTGGAGAGGCACAGGAGAGAGAGACAGACTTCTAATGAAGACATCATTCAGACGGACAGCTGCTCTGAGACCCAGTGACTGTCCTGTGAGACGAGACGCTGCACTGTATGTCTGCGTGTGTCACTGTTGGTCTGCAGTGCTGCTGGTGGGAGTTTATATGTCATGATGTTGGCAGCAAAATGTGAGTGTGTGTCAGCTGGACTGAGGGTCTGTAGAGCTGGCTGCTGTCTCCAGTCCGACTCTCTTTAGTGATTCTTCATACTTCCTCTTCCCCAGAGTCACTACGTCCTCTACTTCCTCCGCCAAGTCCCGCCTACCACTGTCCACCAGCGCTTTCATCAGCCGCTGCACCGCCCCAGGCCCCGCCCCCTGCTGCGCTCTCGCCCAATGAAAGAGCATCGCCAATACCTGGGCCCCAAAGTCCCTGAGAAAAAAGGAAATTTCATTTTTATTACTATAACTACTACTGCTACTATTACTGTTACTAAAATTATCTGATCTGTCTGAATTTTGTCAATTAAAGTATAAAGAGACATAATGAACCAAATTAAATATATTATATAATTAAAGATAATATGATTATAATGATATGATCAATAATGATTATATAACAAAAGTAATGAATAAATAATATAATATTATAACAATTTATATATTTATTTATAATAAATAATTAAATATATGAAATGTTGCAATAAATAAATAAAACTAAAATTAAACACGATCTAAATAACACATTTTTGCATTGATTTATTAACACCATAAACTCCTAAATTATTGACTTTGATTATTGATGTAATCCAGAAAAAAAAAAAAACTGCATCAAGGTCATTATCATTAAAAAAAGATTTTTGTTACTTAAAATAAAAAATGTATAACAGAAATGAAATAAAGTTTTAAAAATCTTATCTTATTTCAGATAGTTTCTCATTTTCAATGTTTCAAGAAAACATTTCTCATTTTGATTTATTAAAGTAACTAAAACTAAGATGAAATAAAAATACTATAAATTATATATATACACATTTTTTAAAATAATTAACGACAAAAACAACACAATTATTAAAACTTTTAACTAAAATGAAAAAGAAAATGGAAAATATGAAAATATAACTTAAAACAAAATATTAATAAAAACTAATGGTATCTCAAAAACACTAAAAATAACATACAGTATGTACACACAAAATGGTATATAAAGTGGTGTGAAAAAGTGTTGGCCCCCTTCCTGATTTCTTATTTTTTTGCATGTTTGTCACACTTTAATGTTTCAGTTCATCAAACAAATTTAAATATTAGTCAAAGATAACACAAGTAAACACAACATGCAGTTTTTAAATGAAGGTTTTTATTATTAAGGGAAAACAAAATCCAAAACTACATGTAACACACACATAATTATTATCATTACTGTTGTTTGTATTATTATTACTATTATTCCCATTAAACAATAATGGGAGTAGTAAAAGAGAATCTTCTGGCAGTATTAAAGTAATGAGATTATAAATTAATAAGGCATGTAAATAAATAAGGCATAAAAGTTTTCATTTATAATGAAAACGGACATAAAATATGGCATTAAATATGCCTTGAAATGAAAAATGATAAGAAATGTCATGACATACGCCTTGAAATAAATGCATTTTGTGCCTTATTTTGTGACTGGCATTGCTTTGTATTTTTATTTAATGATTGCAACATTTCAGAACTTATTTTCTCATAATTTATTTCCATTCGACTGCTATATTGTTCCATAATAAAATAGGTCATTTGAAATTTAACTTGAATTGAGAGACATTAAAGACAAAAAGACGAACAGACTACAGAACAGACAGAGCGTGCATGCATGCGTGTGAGTGTGTGCCGTCTCCTGCAGTGTCCCAGATGGCTGAGCCATCAACACAAAACACTCACATTCCCCTCATAAAACCACTGCTGTGTTCATTCCTTTCCTCCATCACTCATTTCCACACCGCTTCTCTCTCTCTCTAATGATTATGAGTGATTTTACACCAGCGCAAACACATTTGTGATGGAAAAACTGAACTTAAGATATTAAAAGCTCATGAATATTAATGAGGTCATACTGCTCTGGCTTGATAATAAATCCTGGACTGTCCAGTCACAGAATCTAATTAATATTCAAATATTACAAGCTGCAATAAATGTAAACAACAACCTATTTTGGTAGTACAATTTATGTCTAACCTGTTATTACTGCCCTTTTGAAATCTGAAATGATTGCATCATTGAATGCCACAGAAATTGTTAAGGGGATCTGGAGATCACGTGCGCTGTAAAATCTGGAGTAAATCAGTCCTGTAATAAAGACTGAACGTTTGGGCCTGCTTAACAGCGCCCTCTGCTGGCTCTGATCTGATGCCAACCTGTGTTGGTTCCGGATGCGTTCCAGCTGGTCGTAGCTGATGCCCAGGTTGATGCCGATGTTCTGCCACTCGTGGTTGATGCGTAAGGAGATGGACAGCAGGTTGGTCTGTGTCAGGTAGCCGCTCTCCGGGTCGCCCAGGTTCAGCTCGCCGGAGATGCTCCCATCACAGTCTGCGTTCTGTGTGTACATGATGAAACAATACTCATTCATCTGTCAGAGGTTACATTATAGACCGAAATTCTGCACAAAATGAATGAAATACGTGATTCAAACTTGAAATATTTTTTTATGAGCTATGTTCAAAACACTAGTGAGAGTGGCCTCACTGTCTAGATAGGCAGCATACTAACTAGAAGGGAACCTACTGTAATAAGTGTCTGATTTTAAACATTAGTTAATAGTAACTTATAGCAGACGTCCCACACAAGAATCTTGACAATCGCTCAAGGATGATTCTAATAAATTAGCAGGCTGCTAATAAGCACTTTAATTTGTGCATTTTAATTGGAACCATTTTCTTTAATTGCATACAGTGCTTAATAAAGTATATTTAAGTACATAATACAAATATACTTTTTTATGCTTATATAATATTTCAAAATATACATTTATATTATAATAATATAATATGAATTATACTGTTATATATAAAAATGTAATAATATAATATAATATAAAAAATACAGAGACATACAGACACGTGTATGTGTTTCCGTATTTATATTTTTATATATAAACAATTATATATATATATATATATATATATATACACATACTGAAACACAGAATATATATAAATATACATACAGCATTCCATTTTCTATATAGCAATATAAAAATAATAATATATAATACATATATTACCCCAGAACGTAATCAACGTAATGAGCGTTGTTTAAGTTCAGCATACGCGCGCTGTTTACTGAACGTAAACAATGCTGATTACGTTGATTACGTTCTGGGGTACTCTCCAAAATGGTGGAAGACGGAAAACTCAGGGAGAAGAATTGTTGAATAAATTATGTTATTATTGTTTTCTTTGCACACAAAAATTGACTATTGAATTGGTAAAATGGACTAGTCACATGGACTATTTTAACCGATGTCCTTGCTACGTTTCTGTGTGTTGATCGTGGTAATATCCTTGCTGTCTATGCAGGGTCAGAGAGCTCTCTGATTTCATCAAAAATATCTTAAGTTGTGTTCCGAAGATGAACGAAGGTCTTACATGTTTGGAATGACATGAGGGTGAGTAATTAATGACAGAATTTAAATTTTTGGGTGAACTAACACTTTAAAATAACCGCGTCATCCGCAGCTCTTAAACGCAGTTGTCGATGCACCAACCACAAGGCTATCAGTGCCGAATATTTAATTATTAAATATAAATAATTAGTAAATATATTTTAAAGTATTTATTTTCACTGGGTATTACATTTTGGAGCAAAACTTAAGAGAGATGTCTTATAAAACACAATATAGCATTGTGTGCTTTGGGACAGAGTCATAATGTTGTACAGTAGATCTTCTAGATCGCTCACAGGAATCCGGAGAGGAAGCGTCGCCATCCACTGGTTGTCATGACCTTTTCTTTTACTGGCCACTTCCTCTGGAAGATCATTGGGCACTTCACCGCGGTAAAATGACACCTAGAAGGACACGCATCTTATTACATTACTTTTGACTTGAAATACTGGGCTGATCCAACAACTATGACCCCTGAATGACCCCAAGTCCTGTCTCACCTGTCCTCTTACTGTGCCCTGCTGTGGGTGGATCGGGCACACGTGCACCTCTTTAATGTTCTTCAGGTGAGAGTAAAAGGTGAATGAGAGTCTGCCATCTTTACAGTCCGGACGGTCTGAGGAAACACATTCCAATTACAATCCGCTAAATAAACTTGAGCTATTATTGTGATTTTAATATGTTTGATAGTAGGCTGCAGTGTTTTCTGTTTTATGTGTGTGTGTCCACCTGCATTGATGTCAATGCCTCTCTCAAAACCGGCAAAAAACTGCTCTCCCTCCAGCAGGACGCACAACTCAGACGGCTGAGGACCCTCATACTGCTCCAACAGAGACACCAACCTGCTTTCAGCCTAAAGAGAGACAAGAACCATGACTGATAAAGGTATAGTATGTCATTTTAAAGAAAAAAAAAAAATGTATCCTACTTCAGTGTACATAGCCTATAACTATGAACAAGTTCATAGATTGACTTCCTGTAAGATTTTAAACTAGTGCTGGGCAACAATTAATCGTGATTAATCGCATCCAAAATAAAAGTTTTTGTGTACATAATATGTGACCCTGGAGCACAAAACCAGTCTTAAGTCGCTGGGGTATATTTGTAGCAATAGCCAAAAATACATTGTATGGGTCAAAATTATAGATTTCAAAAATCATTAGGATATTAAGTAAAGATCATGTTCCATGAAGATATTTTGTAAATTTCCTACCGTAAATAGATCAATTGATTAGTTATATGCATTGCTAAGAACTTCATTTGGACAACTTTAAAGGCGATTTTCTCAATAGTTTTTTGGGTTTTTTTGCACCCTCAGATTCCAGATTGTATCCAATCCTAACAAACCATATATCAATGGAAAGATTATTTATTCAGCTTTCAGATGATGCATACATCTCAATTTCGAAAAATTGACTCTTATGACTGATTTTGTGGTCCAGGGTCACATATATCATATTGGCTGTTTGTTAGTACTTATAAAGTAAATACCTTACGCTGCAAGATCATATTTTAGATCCCTTAATCCGATCCCATACATAAACATAACTACCTTACTTTTATTCAGCAAGGTGCATTAAATTGATCAAAAGCGACAGCTAAGACATTGATAATGTTACAGAAATTTCAATTGAATGCTGTTCTTTTCCAGTTTCCACAAAAATAAGCAGCTCAAATGTCTTGAACATTGATAATAATAAGAAATGTTTCTTGAGCAGTAAATCAGCATATTAGAATGATTTCTGAAGGATCATGTGACACTGAAGACTGGAGTAAT